TGAGGCTGGAATTTATGAGATGTTTGATCTAGGAGCTGGAGATATAAATTTTGGAGTTAATACCAGAGAAGCCTGGATGAGACTCACAAAGGAGTGAGTATAGATAGAAAACAGAGTCCTGGGGCACTCACAAATGAATAGAAGGTGGAGAAGATGGAGGTCCAACACAAAAATGCAGAAGAAACATCAGGAGGAGGAGAACCAAGTGAGGAGTATCCTGGGAGCCAAGGGAAGAGTCATGGTGAAAGAAGGTTTAGCATTGTAGAGGTCCCTGGTGACCTTCCTAAGAATAGTGCTGGTGGAGGAGTGAAAAGGAAAGCCTGGCTGGGGTGGGCTCAAGAGAATGGCATGGAAGTACTGGGTCAGTGAGATCTGATGACTCTTTAGAAGAGTTTGCTGTGAAGGGCACAAATAAGTCAGTATCTTATGGAGGAAAGAGTATTGGAATAACATTGTGTGGGGCACCTTCTGTTGCCCCTCCATACCTATTTTCTACTTTTTTTTTTTACCTGCTTTATGCCCAGGAAGGTTCTGCTTGAGGCACACCATATAAGTTCCCTGAGCCTCGGCTTCTGGCCACTGGGGAGAAGGAACAGATAATGTGAGGTAAAGAGGTTAAGCCATGTATCCTTAGGCTTATTTCCTGCCTCCGTGCCTCCGTGCTGCAGGTTGGCTGGATTCTCTGCTGAAAGTGACACCAGCTGTCATGCAGCCCTCTCACTTCTACTATTTCTCCAGATTCCAGTAACCATTCCCACTTCTTGCCTCTTTAGCTAAGTGGTAAAAGCTTCTCAATACCACTAGTTTGAGATTACTGCAATATGTCTATATTAGTTTCCTATTGCTATTGTAACAAATGATCACAAACAGTGGCTTGAAACAATAAAACTTTGTTATGTTACAGTTCTTCAGGTTAGAAGTCTGACACATATCTTGTTTGGCTAAAATTAAGATATCAGTAGGGCCATATTCCCTTCTACAGATTCTAGAATTAATTTCCTTGCTCTTTCCAGCTTCTACAACTACCCACTTGCCTAGGCTGATTGGCCCCTTCCTCCATCTTCAAATCCAGGAAAGTTGCACCTCTCTGTGAATTTCTTCCACAGTCACATTTCCTTCTCACTCTCTTCTCCTGCCTCCCTCTTCCACATTGAACCCACCTCAATAATCCAGAATAACCTCTCCATCTGAAAGTCAGCTGACTTCCAACCTTAATTCCATCTGCTACTTTAATTCTCCTTTATCATGTAACACGATGCACTCACAGGTTCTGAGAATTAGAAAATGGAAATCTTTGGGAGCCATTTTTCTGCCTACCACAATGCCTTATTGCAATAAGTCCTAAGCCATGCCAGCAAGATTGTACATAGTTTCTTCCCTTCATTAACTTCTTCTAATAACCCAGTTTGTGTGGGTCACTTATTGCATGCTGGAGACCTAACTGAAACAATTAAAAAAATGTTAGTGAAATAAAAGCTTATTTTTAAATAGATGATAGTAACAATCCAGTAGAGAGTAAAAAAAAAAATGGTGTGAGTAAAAGGGAGATGTGCTGGAGCAATCTCTTGTGTAGGGGAAAGAACAGGATCTGATGTACATGTGGATAAGCAATGGGAGCTCATCTGCAACACTATGAGGGAGTAGTTGCCATAGGTGGGCAAAGATGTTGGACATTGTCTAATTTCCTCAAGATTCTAGGAACAGTGAGGAACAAAATCACTAATGGAAAATAAAGAAGGTGTTGCTGTCAGAGGTTGGGACCAAGAACAAAATAGAAACCCCATCTAGGAAAGTGAAAGAATAAACAGACTAGAGTTTGCATTTTAATGGAGGTGATATTTATTCCTATGGGAGTGAAAATTCCTTTTTGGGGGGAGAGGTGACAAATCATTGATATTGCTATATGTAGCCCTCCAAAAGGCCATAACATATGAAAAGATATACAAGCATATCTGTAGTATCAATATTTATAAGAGAGGCAATTAAAAATACCAAAAAGACTCCTTAAGAGAGGTGATAATGAATAAAAGATTGAGAAACACTGGACCAGCACATACTATGATACTATAACCTTAAAATTCTCTTGAAATTCATGGACAACAACTTCAAAAGACAGCAGTTATGGAAATAGTGTGCTTTATTTATTATTAACCCCCCCATAATGCTGCACACTTGTGGTGTGGAGTGGGTGGAGTTCTGGATTTCACTATGGTTGGGTGTGTGCAAGAAAAGAGGAAAGGGAATGAGGGAGTGTGCAAAAGAGTGACTGTAATGATTTCTCCAGGGTTTTCCACTGGGGAAATAAGATAAAGAGCATTCTAGGCTGCTAAAGACAGATATGGGAGGGTGCTGACCACCTTGGGCCCATGAGAAGTTTAGAAATGAATAGTGAAAATCCATACATCTCACTCCCATCTTCAAAGAGCATCTGATTAGCTAGAAGCAAGTGAGTTTAATTTTTTAATATAGATTAATTTCTTTAGAATATATTTTTTGCTTATTTTCTAAAGGAGAGGGAATGATTTATAAGATTCAATATAATGTGAAGTTTCATATAGAAATAGGAGAAGCCAGAGAAGAGGAGCAGATGGAGAACATCCATCTATTAATGTCAATACATTCATTGACTTCATGGAAAAAGAATGACCAAAAAAAAAAAAAAAAGTCCTGAGAAACATTCATTCCTTATTCATAAAGGACTGTCCTAAACCTTGCTTCCATCTTGAGTACAATTTAGTTTAATATAATGTCTATTTGTTATGCTGGTGTACAAATTCCTAGTTTGTTCATAAGTCTCTCATATCTACCATGTTTTTCTAGTGAGACTGAAAGCTCCTTGCTGCCAGTGAATGTTTTCCATATATATTTTTTTAAACCCACAGTAATGTAATAGCACTCCCACCCATCTGAAGGGTAAACTTGCTTCAAGCTTATACACTCATTATTTGTAGAACTAAGTCCTTTAATCTCTAACAGAACCAACTTACTTTCCTTGAGATTTAGAGACCACTGGCCTCAAGGAGGGAAGAACCAAACTTTCCCAGAAGATAAGGCCTGACTACATTGGAAAACAACTGCCACTGATGCCAACAAGTCTGTTCAGGATCATGTCCACAGAGGATTGGCCTCTGGGTACCTGCTTCTCCTGCATGTAGTCCTCCTCCCTTCTCCTATGCCTTTCCCTTTAAAACCTTCCAGCTTCAGCTGGACAAGGAAGATGATCTTTGAGATGTTAGCCCACCATCTTCTGAATAAAGCAACCTTTCCTCTCCCACCATCACATCTCTTGAGTATTGATTTTCCAGCAGCGGGTAGCTGAACCTTTTTGCAATGGGTTCTGTGTCTGGTAAAAGTATCACCTAGCACATAATCACTCAGACTATTACCTTGACTCCACACCCCTTTCTGTTTGCTGCTTCCCTGTGCTGGTATTCTCATACAGTCAGTTTCAAAACCCTATAGCAGTTTTACTTGCCTTTGAATTTCCTATCCTTTAACATCATCTTTCAGAGAACACTGAGAAAGGAAAAACAGAATCGACATTTGGCATTTAAATGCTAGAACAATCCCCTCATTTAGTTACCCTCCTTTGGGTTGCCTTATATCCAAAGGTCTGCTAGTGCATTTCTACCTTTCAGGGAGCAGAAATACATTCTTAATGTAGGTGCCTCATAATTGGGAAAAAGTCTCTCCAAAACACTTCCCTTCTTGCTGCCTCCACAGATTATTTAAATAAATTATGATCTTCTATTCTTTTAACCTTATTGTTTAATATTTAAACACAGATGGCTTTCTCACCTTTACCACCATGACACCTATAGGGAAGTTTTGCTCTTCTCTGTTAATCAGGTAGATTTTCAGACTTTTCTTAATGTATAAATGTTCTATATTTTACAACTCTATCAAAAATTCAGACTATCCTTTAAAGATATTTACCACTGATTAGCAAGGTTTAAATCTTAATCTTAGTCATCAGTGAAACAAATTATTATGGAGTTTTAAGAGCCAATAAACTATTCATATTAACAATAAGATCAGTAGAGAAGTTGGCTCCAACCTCATCTGCACCCCACACCCTGGCAAAAGAAAATCAGTTGCAAAATAGTGGATTATAGGAATAAATAGTCAAAAATAAATTAAAAAACCCATAAAACAAAGCAAAAAAAAACCCTATAAAACAAAGCAAAACCCTTAAAACAGTCAAATACTCTACTAGATGAAACATCTCTTTTTATCTAATTACATACTTTATATTATGCATATAATGGTCACTTAATAAAATCAAATTGGTGGATAATTGTGTTCAATATGTTGGAAAAGAAATATAAAGCTCAAAATAAGGTTTAGTATAAAGGAAAGGAAGAAGCTAGAAATTAAAACTCAAAGGACATTTCACAACAGCTTCCTTTATGTGTAGATTGTCAATAATATTTTATTCTTATTATGTATGTGGAAAGCTGTAGAACTCTCATCATTAGTAAAATCAGTTTATGTAAATATGGTCAATAGTGGGAATCCTAGTTAAGTTTGTAGACATGATGCAAACAATATTGATTAAAAAATATGAGACAATTCTCATGATCCTTTTTCCATCCCAATAAAACATTAAAAAATATTTTCACTAGTGCACCTGGGTGGCTCAGTTGGTTAAGCTACTGCCTTCAGCTCAGGTCATGATCCTGGAGACCCAGGATCAAGTCCCGCATCAGGCTCCCTGCTCAGCAGAGAGTCTGCTTCTCCTTCTGACCCTTCCCCCTCTCATGCTATCTCTCTCTCATTCTCTCTCTCAAATACATAAATAAAATCTTAAAAAATATATTTTCACTATTGAATCAGTTGTTTTGTCTCAATTATCACCGAGGTATATAATTGCCTTAATATAATTAGTTAAAACATACACATGATGTAATTCTACATTAAAGGCACGATTATGCCTCAGGCATCAGAGGAAAAAAGTCAGATTTTCTTTGATAGTTATGTTTCCTTAAATTAATTCCTACCTGCAGATGTTGTTACAATTTCTGTCGTGTTTCTGAGTCCCATAAAGTCAAACTGATAAAGCCTCCAGGATTTCTGATCAGCTGCCTCAACTGAATTTTTTCTCCATCTGTAAATCATCTCTTCTTTGGGGTAGCCATCTGAAAATACAGAATAAATATTAACACTTGAAGACATAGGTTTATTAAATATGAAAGTCAAAATTATCATTCTGATCATTTAACAGAAGTTAAAATTTTAGGCCATATTTGTTTTTGTTCTCAAAAATTTCCTCAAAGACACTAAAACTCAAAAATTAATGGGTAAAGGCCACTCAACCCAGAGTTCTTGCTGCAGATCTTCATCAGCAAGATGTTTCCAGCCACAAGCCTGGTCATTGTGTGGACACAGCATATAAGGAGGCTGTTATCTTTATTTCTTTAACCTTGGAGAGCCACTTTTAGTCACCATAGGCTGTGGTCAACTTTCAAAGTGTGGAGATGCTGCTCAGAGTGTTACTTGTTTCCAGACTCTGAGATCTAACTACCTGGCCTACGCCCATCACACCTTCACCCTTCCCCAGAAGTTAATCCTTTCAGATCTCAGGAAAGACAAATTTAATAAGGCAATCACTCCAGGATTCCAAAGGTCAGCTGACTCTCAGTCCTGCTCTGACATCAGTCTCCAGTTCTGATCAGTGAGCTTTGACCATTATTAGAGACCAATACTTATCTTATTCATTCATTACTCAAGGAAGCAAGATGCTGGTGTGTTTCTGCTGCCTTAAGCCTAGTGTGGTAACCTGCACAGAGCCAGGTGTCCTGGACAGGTGTTATTACTAGGGCCGCTTAGGCTCCCTGACCCAAGCCAGAGATTGTCCCTGTGACTGCTTCTCAACTCCTGGATCTCCACTTCTGAATACCACTTGGGCAATACTTGTTTTCTAGAGTACCTGTCTCCAGGCTCTATGGCAAGGTCTGCTCCCTGGGGCATCCCTCACCAAAAGCAGGTCTAGAGCCCATGTTGTCACTCAACACATGACAGCATTGGTATTATTACCCCTTCACTGATTAATATAGGCACCGATGGCAAGACTGTGGTAGGAGGAATTATATGCACTACCACCCTGAATATGAAAAACACCTTACTGATACACACATGCTTACACAAACATATTAATAAAGTGGTTGGAAATTTCTAATTAGACATTGCAAAGATCAGTTTGTAAAACTCTTAAAGATAATATGCCTTCCTGGTATTTTCCCTTTCTTCCCATCAGTGCTAGCTTGGCTCCCTCATTCAAAGACTAAAATAAAACACAGGTATGCCCCCTGCTTTCTGATTGTGTATTGTTCTGTGAAATTATTGTCACCATTGCTGGGATACCTGCTCTCTTTTAACTTGACAATGTTCATATCAAGGCACTAAGACTCAGCCCCAGACATTTCTATGAAGTAACCAGACATTTTACTTGGTCATAAGCCACTGTCCTGCTTGCTTTATCTTCCTATTAGACTATCATAATCAGAAAAAGTACTTTATGCTGTAATTATTTCTTTTAACTTTTTTATTAAACAGCTTTATTGAGGTGCAATTCACATACATAACACATGTACAATTCAGTGGTTTTTAGTGTATTCTTGGAGTGGTGCAACTATTATCACAATGTAATTTTAGAATTAGATTTTAGAATATTTTCATCACCCCAAAATGAAGCCGCAGACCCAGTAGCAGTCATTCCCCATTCCCCTTCCTTGCACACATTGCACACATCACCTGTCTCATCCAGTTCTTGGCATCCATTAATATATTTTCTGTCTATAGATTTGCCTGTTCTGGACCTTTCATATAAATGGGATCACACAACATGTTATCTTTTGAACTGATGTCCTTCACTTAGTGTAATGTATTCAACATTCACTCATATTGTAGCCCTTGTTAGTAATTCATCCTTATTTATTACCCAATAATATTGGAATAATAATTCACTACATGAATATACCATATTTTGCTTATCCATTTGTCAGTTGATAGGCAGTTTGTGTCCACTTCTATGCTTTCTATGAATAATGCTGTTATGAACTTTAGCATTTTCTTTTTTAAATAAACAAGGACTTCTCATATCTTTATGATGAGTGGTAGTTTTGCAACTTGGAGCAAGGCCCCCACTGAATTAGGCTATTACCTTCCCACAGAAACTAGGAGATTGGGATATTATCTTTCTTGATTATATTTTAAAGAAATGGCTCCCAGACCTTAAGAAAGCCTTTAAAAAGATTTACATCTTGTTCCAAAACAGAGTTCCCTTCCCTTAACCGAAACTTGTTTCTCTTCCATTTTTCTACCTAAGCAAATGACAGTACCCACCTAATTGCTTAAGAGTTAAGAACACTTGTGTATGAGATTTTGTGCTGACATAGTTTTCAATTTGCTTGGGTATGTAAATAGGAGTGAAATTGTTGAGGAATAAGGTAACTCTATATTTAACATTTTTGAGAAACTGCTGGACTGTTTTTCAAGGCTTTACCTTAAAATCCTACCAGCAATGTATGAGGGTTCCAATTTCTCCATATTCTTTCCAACATTTGCTAATATCTGTCTTTCTAATTGTAATAGTCATAGTGGGTGTGAAGTGGCACCTTGCTGTTTAATTTGCATTTCCCTAATGATTGATGATATAGAGCATCTTTTCATGGGTTTATTGGCCAATACATGTCTTCTTTGGTGGGGTATCCAGATTTTTTGCTCATTTTTAAATTGTATTATTTGTTTTCATATTCTTGAGTCTTAAGAGTTATCTGTATGTTTTGGGTCAAGTCTTTTATCAGACATATGTTTTACAAATATTTTCTGCCATTCTATGGCTTATCTTTTGACTTTCCTGCATTTTTGAAGAGTTTTGCTAGTTATAGAATTATTGGTTGACAGTCTTTTTCCTTCAACATTTTGAAGCTGTTATCTGTCCTCTAACCTCCATGGTTTCTGTTGAGAAACCATCAAGTTGACTCTGCTGTGGATAGGTGTGGATCTCTGAGTTCATTGGAGTTAGTTGAACTTCTTCTGATTGTTATTTTTTCCAATAATTTTGGCCTTATTTCTCTGCTCTTCTCCTCTGGGACTTTCATTAAATGTATATTGGTAATTTTCATGATGTGCCACAGGTGTATGAGTTTCCTCACATTTTTCTCCATTCAGTCTTCATTTTGTTTCTCTTACTGGATAATCTTTACTGGCCTATCTTCAAGTCTGCTGATATTTTCTTCTGTCTCCTCAAATCTGTTGTTTGTAGCTGGCTAGTGACTTTTTAATTTCAGTCATTGTACTTTTCAACTCCAGAATTGCAATTAGTTTCTTTTCAATAATTTCTGTCTTTTTACAGATATTCTCTATTTAATGATACCTAGTTGTCAGACTTTCCTTGCCTTTAATTCATTGGGCATTGGTTTATTTTAGTTCTTTGAATGCATGTAGAATAGCAGACTTAAATTTTGCCTAGTACATCCAACATCTGGGATTTTTCAAGGATTATTCTATTATTTCAAGGATTATTTCTATTGACAGTTTTTATTACTCTGTATGTGATGTGCTTTCCTGTTTCTTTGCAGGTTTTGTAATTTTTCACTGGAAATCAGACATTTTAGATAATGTTTTGTGACAACTCCAATATCAGAACCCTCTTTCCACTCGAGGTGGTGGTTGTTCCTGGATTTTTGGTTTTGTTCTTGTTTTTCTTCTTGTTGTTTATTTCCTTAGTGACTTTTCCAGGTTAATTTGTAAATCTGTACTCCCCACAGTGTGTAGCCACTGAGTTCCCTGCTATCTTTTTGTTGTTGTTGATTTTATGTTCTCGTTTTCAAGCCTGGTCTCCTAGGGTTCACCTTTGGTTCATTATAATTTAGTGGTCAGCCAATGATCAGTCAGAATGCTTCCTTAAATGCCTTGCCTACCTCTGCCAAGGAGATCTGTGTGTGAAAGCATGTCTTCAAACTTTAAACAGTTTACAAGTCAGCCTTAGCTTTAATTTTCTGCTTGTACAATTCCTCAAACCCAGAGGTGAGTAACTGGGGCTTTCTCCTTTCTTAGATCTTTCCTGGGCATGCACACAGCCTTGCACATGTGTACAACATTCTTATAGATCCCTATGAATTTGCTGGAGTTTTTCAAAGTTCTCTGTATCTAGGTCTTGCTTTAATTTTTTGGGGTGGGGTGTGGTTTTTTTCTTTGCACTAATTGATATCACAAACTTAGGCAGATGTAACACTGTCAGAAGATTTCCATTTTTTTTCTATGATGCCCTGGTGATATGGCTTCTTAAATTTATTTTTTAGCTGAGCTGAGCTCTGAGTCAAATCAAATGTCCACAACACTTTGGGAATGAAAATTTTCAAATACTGCTAGTTTTGACATAATATTGATGATGCTCTTGGTATAAAGTTCTTACCTCTCCATTCATTGTGAGCCTGCACATCTTACACAACTACCACACTCCTGAGCTGGCAGGGAGGCAGAGAGAAAGGGAATAGTCCCAAGCTGACATGTACAGGCACTGTTGTCTTTTTGAGATTCAGAAGTTTCTCTTTGATAGACAATTTTCATTTTTTCTGTGACTTTGGTTAATTTATGGTGTTTTAAAATGGTTGATTTTAGTTGCTTTGCCAGTATTTTCACTGCTTCTGTGGGAAAGTGGTCACTGAGATCCTTACTCCACCACTCCGAAGTTGATCTCCCTATGCCATAATTCTAATAACAATAATAACAGAAACAAACGATGGCTTCTATTTATTGCACACCAACAGTCTCAATAGGACTTTTACCTACATTTTCCATTTAATCTTATCCTGTTTTGGACTGATCTGAGCATTGTAATGTTAAATAACTTGCCCATTTCGATGAAGCTGCAGAACAAACCCAGAGCCTTCTCTTAACTCCATTCTACATGACTTCTCCTTTTACAAAACTTCCAGTTTTATTTCTAATTCAGAAGGCCTCCCATTGTATCCTTCCTTCCACAAATAAATCAATACTAATGTGTTGATAAATTTATATGTAACACTTTCAATAAAACGTATTTACATTTAAATTAACCATAGTCTTCCAAAGATGCATGTAATAACTTGATATAATGATGGTAGTTGGGATTTCAGAGAGAAGGTAAAGTGGG